ATTGATACTAGTTATATCTACGTTTGGGACAGTTGACGGCAATACAAAATGCCTGCATTTCACAATATGTTGGTTGGTACTCTGTACCTATATTTTTCTTTAACCCTAGGTTATTTTGAGCCGTTTCTGTAAAGGTTGGTGTTATATATAAATATATATATATATATGTGCTCCGGAATGGCTTTCCCAACGGGCAGAGATGGAAATCGAATACACTCAATATATCTCGATTTATCTGTTTATTTATTTATTTTTCCATAGGCTGTTGGTAACTATATCGGATTACTTTAATCTTGGTTTTCTTACCATTAAAAGCCCCGCAGTTGTTAACTTCAGTCTTTACAAACACATTTTTATCGATGTCACTGATCCGCACAAACGGGTAGAGAAGAAAACAACAGCTATCGAAATACTTCAAATTATCTCGCATCATATCAACCCCAGGTATTCATTACTGTTAGGCTATAACAAATCATAGCAGTCCACTGAAATTTGTCACATGATCGTCAAACAGTGCATCCCTCACATCGCTGTAGTAATCACCAGGTGATGAAGATAGGCTACTTCACTGTATTTGCGTCCGTTTTTCATCATCTTATTTGCTAAGTCTTCTCAACAAGCTGTAGTTTCAGTCCTGAAACTTTCTTTGAATCTACGAAATAATAAGAATTATATCATGAAACAAAAGCCGCATTATTGAAGGACCATTAGAAAATCTGAAGGCATGGTTCATCTATCCCATAGAATCACATTTTCGTACAGTCTTCTGTTTACCTCCTGGGTTTGTTTTTCTTTGTTTTCTATATCAACCACTCGCTACCCGGCTTTTCGTGATGGCACAGATTGAAATCATTTTTTTGATTGGTTGAGTAGAATCGTCTTCAAAGTCAATTCATCGCTTACGTTGTAATCATCTCAGAACTGAGCACAACAGTAGATGATTTCTTTGCAACTAGCTGCTCGGCAAATCACATCAAACTAACCAGTTTTTCAAAACTGGTAAACTCCAACCATTTAGTATGCGGCACATTGAGAGGCTTTGCACAATTATTAAATCCTTGGTGAAAATT